CGGGAGAAAGATGAGGCTTTCTGCTCCTGTAAAGATTTACAGCCTCGGAAACCCTGTACAGGGTCGCTATGGGTCAGAACCGACTCGATGGCACTTAACAATAACAACAACTCCCTTAATCAATGAGATGGTTGTATTTGGTTAGAATGTTCAGTAGTCGGGGTAGGCGGTAGAATCTTAAATGTGAAGCCTTGAAAACACTGACAAAATTATAAGTGGCGAAATTTTGGATGCTCACTGTCATCCAAAATAAGGAAATGATCACCATGCGGCCAAGTGGACCCAAAGTCTGTAGGACAGAGAAGTGCCTCATCTTCTAGAGGCTGGTGAGTTTGAACCACTGGCTTTTCTGTGAGCAGCTGAACACGTCACCCACTGCGCCAACAGGGCTCTGTCCACAGGGGCATGGGAACTCATTCACATAGCTCAGCTGCTAATCAAAAGATTGGCAGTTCGAGCCTACCTAGAGATCGCACTGGAGAAAGGTCTGGTGAACTGCTTTTAGGGACACTCTGGGGCCATTCTGCTCTGTCATACGGAGTCACTATGAGTTAGATTCGACAGATGGCACCGTAGACCAACACCACTTCCCAGTACTCTGTATACATGCACAGACGCACGCACGCACGGACACACACACGCATGCGGGTGAGTCAAAACTTACCAACACTCGGACTGCATAATTTATTTTACTCAACTTCTAGAAAAGACAAAATGCATCCTTGTTTTAATGTCATCTCCTTGCTTTTCAATACACTTTGTCCATCTGTCAACAAGCTTTCATATTCCCTTATTTATGAGCTGTGAGCTCGTAAATATTCATATTTCATATTCATGAGCTGTGAGCCATGAGTGCACAGCTGTCTTCACTCCTTCATCAGAAGTGAATCTTTGTCCTAGAAGGGCTGCCTTCAGTGGACCGGGCAGGTGAAACTTGGATGGAGCAAGATCAGGAATGTAGGGAGGATACTTTAACACCTCAAAACTGAGTTTTTGCAGAGTGTCAACAGTATGGGCAGAGGTGTATGGACATGCATTGTCATGTAAGATCACAATGGCATCCTCTGCATTTAATCTAAAATTTAGTCTTCAGTTCTGCGGTGAGCATCTCACTGGAACAAACGTTGTTGATTGTTGAACCTTTTCCCTGACAGTGTTCCAACACTGGCCCTTGAGAATCCCAGAAAACCGTAAGCATCAATTTTCCAGCTGATGGTAGACTTTTGAACTTTTTCTTGGTTGGCGATTGAGGATGTTTCTATCCCATACCCTGTCATTTACTGTCAGGTTCATAGTGATGAATCCATGTCTCATCACCAGGAAAGATTTTTCCAAAAGAAACTTATACCTTCCTTTGAGTCTCAGTCCAAATTTTGTTTGCAGATATCCAAACAGCTCTGTTTCTGCTCTTCTGTGAACTGTTTTTGTACACACATCACACAAACTTTTCGACACCCAAGTCTGTTGTGGATCGATTATTTCATAGGCAGAGCCATGGCTGATATACAAATGATTTAGCACCGAATCCATTGTTACTCATCTGTTCGGCAGAATCATTTCACATGCATGCTCTATGTTGTCATCAGCTGTGGACATGCATGGGCATTTTAAGATAACCACAGTGCGGGTAAGTTCTGACTTATCCCCACACATATACATAAACCCATTGTTGTGAAATTGACGTCCACTCATGGTAGGAACGTTTCAGTGGAGATTACGGATTAAGAGAGACTAGGAAGAATCTAGACAGATCTACGGGGAGGTGGGTCATGATGGAACCGTGTCCAGGTCACTTGCTTTAGACACGTCCATTGATGGAGTAGGAGCTTGTGTTTGGTGGTATAAAAGGTCAAGGAGGGCAAGGGAGACCCTCGTTGAAATGGATGGGAAAAGTGGTCACAACAAAAGACCCCCAACTAGTCCCCAGCACCAGGTAAACATTCATCTGCTAACCAAAAGGTTGGTGGTTCAAGGCCGCCTACAGGTGGTACAGAAGAAAGTCCTGGTGATCTGTACCCATGAAGATGACAGCCTAGGAACCTCTGTGGCGATTCTTGGACTCTGTCATGTGGTGTCGCTATGGGTCGGATTCAACTCAACCACACCTAACAATCCCAAGCTCTTTGAAAGGAGATATGGTGGCTCAACAGTTAGTAGCTTAGCTGCTAACATAAACGTTGGTGGTTCAAACCCACAAGCCTCTCCCTGAGAGAACAATGAAGCATTCGGCTCCCTGAAGTATCTGCAGTGTCAGAATCCCTATGGGGCTTGTCTACTCGACCCTATAGGATCTCGGAGTCACGGAGGACTCGGTGGCAGTGGTCTTGGCTTTTGGTGAGTACTTTGGTTCAAGAGGGGATGCTATCAGCTGCAGAAGCTCCCTGACCACCAAGCTCCCTCTGTGCTGAGGATGAGCCCACTGCAGACTCCACCTACCACCCTCTCCTTCCGGTTTCTCTTCTGCAGGTCCAGCTGGCCTTTTCCGTGTCGGAAATCTCCATTGAGGAGAAGGCCCGGGAGCTCAGTCCACAGGAGGAGCGGAGGAAGTGGGAAGAGGGCCACATCGATTACCTGGGAAGGGACTCCTTCACACGGATTCAGGAGAAGCTGGACCGCTTTCTGCAGTGACCTGCGTGGTGGAGCTGCGTGTGCGCCTCCTGAAATATCCACATTTCACCTGGCCCTCTTGTCTTCTCAAGGGAAACTCTGTTATACCATGTGCCTCTATTTATAACTGACCAACCCGAGTGCCTGAAAAATAAAAACCCATCCCTCCGCTGATACGAACAACGAATAACCTCCAAGCATCCTTCAGACACCAAGTATTGCTTTTCATCTTGTCAGCAGAGTGGAGGTTAGAACCTAATCAGAGTGCCTTGGAATAAAGGCCTGGTGATCTGCTTCCCAAAGAGCTGAGAACCCTGTGAGCACAGTTCTACTCTGACACACATGGGGGCACCATGAGTGGGATCTACTTATGAAAAATCATCCACTGAGAACCCTGTGGGGCACAGTTCTACTCTGACACACACGGGGCACCATGAGTGGGATCTACTTATGAAACATCATCCACTGAGAACCCTGTGGGCACAGTTCTACTCTGACACACACACACACGGGGCACCATGAGTGGGATCTACTTATGAAACATCATCCACTGAGAACCCTGTGGGCACAATTCCACTCTGAGACACACGGGGACACCATGAGTGGGATCTACTTATGAAAAATCATCCACTGAGAACCCTGTGGGCACAGTTCTACTCTGACACACACGGGGCACCGTGAGTGGGATCTACTTATGAAAAATTATCCATTGAGAACCCTGTAGGCACAGTTCTACTCTGACATACATGCATTTCATTTGACTCGATGAATGATGTTTTTCAGTAAAGACCAGTGAGGGATGAACTCGACACAGGTATTTTAGAAGCTGGACTGTCTGCTAAGTGTTTTGATTATACTTGGGGGGTATTTGATCGTATTTTGCATGCTCTGAAGCAGATTATCTCTGGTCCAGGGGGAACTGTTTGAGCTAGATCCCTTGTGTCGTCTCAAGAGCAGGGAGGGATTGTGTCTGTGTAGTAGGTTACTGATTTGCAGCCTGGACTTGCACACAATACCCTGCAGTGGACATGCAGATTGTATACCATCATCAGAGTGTACCGCCAAGGACAGATGCCGGAGCTGTGAGCTATAGCATCAACTGTGAATAACACAGGTGTTGAAATGAGGCAAGGACCTTCCCGCAGAGCTGAGAGAGAAACAGACAGTTCCCTACTGTGAGTTGAGATTTGCAGCTGACTGCACTGTGAGAGAATCGATGTGTTTGATAAAGCTAACTATTTGTGGTGTTTCTTTAACAACAGCACCAGTAAAGCTAAGATGAAAAGCTATTACTTACAGAATTCCAAGGAATAAACAGAAAGGAAATGATCCAAACAGAAAATGCCACTGTGCAAACATCACCATAGTAATAATCGCAGATCACTATAGATGAAGACTAAAATTAATAAGCTAAAGTATAATGAGAAACGTAGCTTTTCCACAGTCTCTACGTATCACCCTATGAGAAACTTTCAAAGAATAAAGGGTGAAGTCAAAAAGAAAGGAAATGTATGAAAAATACAAAGAAAACCACTCTTAAGCCAAATACAAAATGAGTGTATTTAATTGTATACAACGTAACACCAATAACAACATGTAAAGTTGTAAAACCATATTTGCTCAAGGCTATTTTTCCTGTACTCTTGTCATTTTGCTGTTGTTAAGTGTCATCGAGTCGGTTCTAACTCATAGCATCCCTGTGTAGGGTTTCCAAGGAGCGGCTGGTGAGCTTGAACCACCAACCTTGTGGCTCAAACCGGCTGGGCAGTCCAGTGTGCTAGCCCACAGCACCACACTAGGACTCCTAATTTTCAATAGTCACAGATTTTAAGAAAGGGAAAATTTAGCGTGGGGAGAGAAAGTAACAAATATTAAAAAGAATGGTCCCTCCCCCCATTTGTAAGATGTCTTTTCAATTTGTTAATAAAGTCATATGATGCACAAAAGCAAAAAAAAAAGGTACCATAGTTCAGAAAAATTTTAAGTCATTTCTACCAAAGACAAAAAGAACTCTTAATTACCCCTTCTTTGGAGCCCTGGTGTGTCGCTGTGCGTTAATGTGCTGCAGTACAAAGTCCTTTGAAATCGCACGGTCAGCAGGTCAAGTTCACCAGCTGCTCCTCGGAAACCCTGTACACAGAGTTGCTATGGGTCGGAACCAACTCGACGGCACTTAACAATAACAACAACACCCCTTCTTTGTAGTAATATTTCTTACTGAGTAAATTTGTTCTTTATTCACAGTTAAAGAAATTTATAGCAATCAGAATGGGGGGAAAAAATCCCACTTTTGAATATACTCATCTGCCCACCGCGAGTTCGAACATTTGAAGTGAAATGTAGGAAGGCAAAGATGGGAAACTTTCGTACTGCGTACACTCATCAATGCACTCCACCGCGACACCATGCCTTCTCTGGGTTTGGGGCAGGTCTGTTTCTCCCACTTCCCTTACATTCAGAAGATTTCTCTCCATCCTCAGTTTTTTACCTGAAATGAGGTGTGAGGTGACTTTACACTCTTAACAACTCATTTCTCTGCCTCACTGACTCCGCTGGTGTGTTCACAGAGGGATGAGGAAAGCCAAAAGGTTTCCTCACATACTTAACATTTACACGTATTCTCTCCACTGTGAGTTCACACATGATGGCCAAAGCCTAAGGAATAACTAAAGGTTTTCCCACATCCCTTACATTCGTAAGGTTTTACTTCACTAAGAAAGACCTTTGGTAACATAGTGGTTATGAGTCGGGCTGCTAATCTCAAGGTCAGCACTTTGAAAAAATCAGCAGTTCCACGGGAGCAAGATCATGCTTTCTGCTTACCTAAAGATTTACAGCCTCAGAAACGCTGTGCAGGGTCATTAGGAGTCAGAACCGACGGTAGGGCACACTAGCATTTCACTGACAGTGTATGTGTAGTGAGGGTGGACAAAACACTCAAGTCGTTCCCACATTCCATACATTCATGTGAGTTCTGTTTAGTGAGGGCTCTGTCCTGACAAAACTTTCCCCACACCGCTTACATCCATAAGGCCTCTCTGTGTTGTGTTCTCCATTTAGTGAGGGCTGAGAAACACTCCTTACACTCCAAAGGCCTCGCTCCATGATGCATTTGCATGTGTGGGCATGATCGAAGCTTTTCCCGTATTGCTGACATGCAGGTCTGTCTCCTGTGAGCTGGTGATGCACCGTGAGGTTTGAACACCACCTCAAGGTGTTCCCACCTTTACAGTCACAAGGACGACCTCGACCGTGAATGCTCTCATGGACAGTGAGGCTGAGGAAGTCCAGAGACTTTCTGATGTTCATTCCATGCATCCTGTCTGTGTGCACTGTGGGGTTTCTGTCTAGTGAGGACGGAGGACTAAGTGAAGGACGTCTGGCATTCATTACACTTCTATAAGGCCTCTGCCCACTGTGAGGTCCTCTATCTGCAGGGAGGACTGAGACCTCTGGCACTGTAGGATAAGAACTGGTCTCACAACAACAAGGTGGACAGTTTAAACCCACCAGCCGCTCTAGTAAACCTATACAGGGTCACTATGAGTCGGAACCGACCCAACAGCACTGAACAAAGGCTTTCCCACATCCTTTACATCCATAAGGCCTCTGTCCACCATAAGTTCTGAGGTGCTTAGTGAGGGCAGAAAAACATTCAAAGGCTTTCCCACATATCTGACATTTCTAAAGCTTCTCTCCACGGTAAATTCTCCGGCATAGAGTGAGCTTTGAGGACTTTTCCTGGCATTTATAATTCCTATCCCGTCACGACTTTGTGGACGTTACAGAGAAAGGGTAATGGAAGACCTAAAGCTGTTGTACACTTCTTACTTACACAAGGCATGTCTTGGTTAGGAACTATTTTATGTAAAACTAGGGGTGAGGACGACTAGAACTTGAAACATTCTCTAGATTCATGCTTATAACCTCTCACGTGTGTATACAAGGAATGGACATGACACATTACATTCTTAGTCACTGAAGGAATGACAAACAGCTGAAGCTCTTCCGACACACCTCTTTTTTTATAGGTGTTTCTTTCTTTGAAGAGTTCTCGGAGGATTGGATGGCTTCATGATTAGAACTCGACTAGAGGAAAAAAAAGTTTTGATACCGGAAGCAAGTGTGAATTGCTACAATTTGATGAACTTGGCCTAAGCTTATGGATGTTGTTGTTGTTGTTGTTGTGATGTTCCATGGAGTCCGTTCCGACTCACAGCAACCCTGTACAGGGTTTCCGAGTCTGTACATATTTACGGAAGCAGAAAGCCTCGTCTTTCTCCTGCGGAACAGCTGGTAGTTTTGAACTGCTGACCCTGAGGTTAGCAACCTGATTCATAACCACTACGCTACCAGAGCTCCTTACTTATGGATGCAGTAGCTCAAAATACCAACCAAGAGAGAAGGAGTCTTCACACCCAGGATCAATCTTATCCCCTCTGTACACAGGGTTGCTAGGGATGGGCAACTTAGACATTAGCTACCTAAAATAGGGGCTGGGGGCTTTAAAGGCACAAAGTGGCTGGCTTAGAAAATTTCAAGACAGAGTTTAGTTTCTGAGTGTGTAAGGGAAGGTAGAGTCCCCACTGAATAGTTTTCATCTTGTCTAGACAGATGTGGTGAAAGGAGATGGGGATAGGATTCTCATGATTCAATAGTAATTGTTATCGTGACTAATTGCGACTGTCACAATTGCAAAGGTAGGAATTTTGTAACATAAAGTAAGAAGCGGTTAATCTTACAGTCCAGGACCCTAGGACCATCAAGGAAGAACACAAGCGGAATGTGGGACCTTATCCAGAGAAGCAGCAACACCAGAGATGGAGGCAGAGATGGGGACATGGAGAGAGGGAGCAGCTGAGGACTCCAGACTCATGGAAAGAGAGGGACTGAGTGCTGGTGGCCAGGAGGCAGGCTTGCAGGATGTGCTCTTTGGTGGTGTAAATGATGATATATTCCTGAGTGTTTTTGTGTATACCCCCCCAAAAAGGGAGGGGGGAGATTAGAGGCAAATATTTTTA